ATCGAGTGAACAACAGATGAGACACTAAATTAGCACAAAATCAATGTCAACCGAAAAAATTGAGAGCGAAAGTGAAGGCCTGGAGGGGAACGGGAGGGGAGACGACGGCGTTTCACACGTGTTGGGTTCGCACGTGCAGAACAGGGCCTATAGTACTGGCTATAGTATGGGTCGACTGTTGAGCGCCTTCCCCGCTGCCCATCAAAAGCCCAACGCATAACACAATGCTATACAAACACTACAGTACTTATGAAAAGAGGATAAAATTTGTTAGTTTTTGTCCCTTTTATTCTGTTATCAGTTGTCATATTGTTATCATTCGTTTGCAATCTATTTATATAACTGTTAAGTAATCGGTTTATCTAATTATCAAATTTAATACAATTTTCCTATGTATAGTATTCAATTGCTTTTTTATATGCAATACCATTTTGCTATAATTATGCGTAAAGCAATTGTATTTATAACTGGAATGGCTTTTATAATTTATTATACTGTATGCCAATTGCCTTCAAACAGAAAGGCTAAGAATGGTTTGAATCCATGTTTGCAATATATCTGTTTTGATAATTGTCGACACAATTGACTCCTGTATACACACCGGCCCTCCGTATTGAGTCCAAACAATGGGATGAGTTGTCGAAAATTGAAATTAAATTGACTTTTCGTTTATTCACAGCCATTGTATTGCGGAATACCGTATAAATCACTTGTTTTGGTGATTGTCTCAAACAGAATGGGAAGAATAGGGAACTACTGTTTGTCACAACACTGGTAGACATGAGGCCGACACTGAATTGTAAACTAAACACTATTTATCAAAGAGAAACACAACACCTATTGTTGTCTATCCATTGAATAGCTCCGGAATTAATGAAAACCAAACTTTGATTTATGGCTTATTTCTTATGACTCTTTTCTGGTGACAAAATCACTATTAAATGCTATTCTTTTGAGATTTAAGTCAAAAAAGTAAAAAACTTTTTTTTATTTAACACATAATTCATTGTCAAAAGCCGGTGACAAATATCTATGTCTTAAGACCTCTTTGATTATTTTGTTGTATTAAAATTTACAATAATTTAGATTTATATAGGGTGATAAATTATCTAATTCATACATGATACAAGGTATTGTTAATAAAATATATTATAAAGATTTTAAATTAAAAGTATCAAAACATGGCTTAATAAATTTTAATAAAGAAAAATAATATTCTTACATTTATAATTATATTCTACTAATATTTTAAAATTTACAGTTAATAACTTATTAATAATAAGTATAGAATCTAGAATCTATACTATAGTATAGATACAAATGCTCAAATGTACAGTACCTTGGAAAAATGTACAAAAGATTTTTCTATTTAAAGCCATTTATACAATTCCCTTACTAGTATATAAAATTCGATTTAATATTTTTTAAAAAGGTTTTGAAACTTACATGTATATTTAATTTTACCTTTAAAGAGTACAAAATTATTAAATTACAATATATTGTATTGCCAAATTATTAAAATTTAGTTGAAAATTAAGATTTTAATCTTACCATCGATTGTCTATTAAATAAAACAATGTTATAAGAAATATTTGATTTATTCAGGTGCATTTATATTGATATGGAAATAATAGAGTTTGAATTATATTCTGTATTTAGTATTACTAGTAGTTACATTAAATGGGTTAAGATTTCAATTTCTGTCAACTGTTTGTTTTGATCAAAGACGAGGGCTTTCCTCTAAGACTATCTCTGATGAGAGACACATATAAAGTTAATATACGGTATGTTTTATGCAAACTTAGAAAACAAAACACTAATACCAATCGTCGCTAAAAATAAAGTATAAATTAATGTCATTCTCGATAGGAATACACTATAATAGAGTAGATGTGTGTTGTGTTTAAGTAAAACCCAAACTATCTATCATTCAATCTATTCATTCATATATTTTTTTCATACAAAAAATCTTATTGTCATTAGAAGTGTTGGTTCGGGTGTTGACGGCGTCGGAGGAAAAAAGAAATCGAGGATTAAGTGTACTGTTGGGCCAAATCCTACGGCGTTTAACTTTTTGCTATACATTTGATGTCTTGATATTCATGTAGTGTCGCACCAACTGGTCATCACTCTTCATCAACGGTGTCATTGCGATTGCCATGCAATACATTGTCTCTGTGTTTGCCATCAGTTTTGGCACACATTTTGCTAATATTACACCAAAAAAGCACTCATTCATTGTTCGCTCACTTTTCTCGCCTCCCCTTAACTCCTCAAGTCTTTTATAATAAGTTTTTATATAACAATACAACACCTAATCTACAACTTCTCTCTCTCTCTCTCTCTCTCTCTCTCTCTCTCACCCTCTCTCTCTCCCCTTACTCTAACCCATTCCTATGCATATGATTTCTTGAGAGTTAAATTTGTCTCAATATTACATGTGATAAATATTCAATCCTTTGAGTTATTGCTCAGAATTTGTATTTATTTATCACAATAATTATATCAGTAAATCATATTTTATATAAACAATAACTGAGTGCTTGATTAGTGATCATAATGATGTGCTGTTTGTGCCAAATTCCCCATTATTTATGAGCTATTATTCAAATCAATCAAAATAATTGTATTAATAATAAATGATATAACGATAGATAGAATTGAGAATCAATTAAATGGTAATTAATTCAGTGATCATATCGTGTGTGCGAATGAAAATAAAAAGACAACTCAACAAAAGCCGTGAAATATTGAATGGAGTGAGAGATTCAGAGAGAAATGAAACATTATTTCTGCGTTCAGTCGACACAAAACAGGGGATGAGTTGTGATAGTCCTGTCCTCTCAATGATCATTGGACGCGGGAATCGTTACATCTGTTCTCATATTAATAATCATAATATTTGAGAAAATATTTTCCGTATATTAATGACTCAGAAGAATAGATAATATACTAAATGTGCGGACAAGTCATCCCGAGAGGGCTTTCGCAATACTGTCATAAAAAACAGTTGTTTCGCAAAATATTTAAATTACTTTTAGGTTCTTATTTAAACATTTAAATCTGATCAATACAATTGATCAGTGCAATTGTTATTCAATTTTCAGCTAATTAAACATCAAAAAATATTTTTGGAAAATTTGTATGCATTTCTTTAATCATTAAATATACATTAAATATAGTATTTAGGATGTAAAGTGTATTATGATATATAATGTGTTTTGCACTTTTGGACACCTCTGATCTGCAGGATTTAGAAATAAGCTTAATTACTAAAATGATTTTTTATACAAATATACTCTAATATATTATATATAAAACATTATTTCTTTTCGCGCAAATATAATATTTATTTTTAAATATTATCATTCATTCATTGGATTGGGATTTCAAGTTCAATGTATTTTTGAGACTCTATTTGATGTCTAGGAGTGCAGTGTTTGTAAAGATATTTTAGTTTTGGGACCAAATAAATGGCTCTCTTTGTCGTGTCTTTCGTTCAGATCATTGATATTAATGTCGGCCTAAAAATATCGATATATAGACTGCAACCACACAATCAACACTCTGTACTGATTTTTCTTAACTTTTTCTTTCTATATTACATTTATTTAACATTTTTAGCACACATGACGTTTTTGGACACAATTTTATTTGATAGCACCAGAATAAGTTAATAACTAAATTGAAACATTTTCATATTATTGAAGTACAGTACAGTATTTGATCAATAAATGCATGTTTAACTATAATATATGCAAATCTAATAAAATACTTTAAAACACATTCCCTGATCATTGAGCGCAACTGGAATCGAGTATTGGCTATAATCTGGGTATTCGTGTCAATAGATAGGGAGTGAGGGTCTGTGTCCGACATGTAAAGTCCATAACATGTTCAATGTTTAGCCCTTAAGTCGCCTGAAACTGGATTTTGAAGTTAAAGCCAATCAAATAATTCATTAAACTATTGGTTGATTTAGACGTTTGAATAAATTTGATGAGAAATTGTAATCATTTTGAATGCTTTCAAAAGGATTTCCATAAATGATTGATTTAAGCAATTGAAACAAATAGTACTCCAAGCGATTGATTTCGAAAACTAATGCATTGGAAATAATATATTAAATTTATACCTCTTTATAGTCCTATTCTTTTCATACATATATTGATCACTAATATTGAATAAATTTACTAAACCTATTGTTAAAATAAAAAAAATAGTATAAAGAAAATAATAGCATGCACTATGCTTTTTAATATTCAATGCTAAGTTTATTTGAGTTATAAATGTATGAAATAAGTTGCAAATTGAGTGAAGAATAAATAAAATGAGAAAATTGAATGAAATAAAATTCAAAGTATGCGTGATTTGTTTGATATAATAGATAATGATCTAAAAGGGTAAAAATATCAATATTGATAGACTATATTACAATAAAAATGATAATAAAATTAAGTTGAAAATAAAAATAACTTGATGGTTTCAATAGCGATAGTTCTAATTTTATATCCTATTCATGTTTGTATTGTGCAACATTGTTCATTTTTATTGTTATAAGTAAATAACCAGTGCAAATATTGGGCCCATTGGATTACGCATTCATTTTATAAATTAAACCATTTTGTGTCAACTCAAACTAGTTTCAATTAATAATTATCAAAATCGTAAGAAAATGAATTCACATAATAAGTCCAATGCATATGCGCTCACATCTAGTGCTCAATATTGCAAACATTACATAACTTTCAGACTTAAAAAGTTTTCTAAAGTTTCCTTAAGAAATTGTTATAATTCTGTCACTAAATGAAAGTCTGATTTAACAGTGTAGCAATTAGCGAGAAGGGCTGTCACCGGGAGGGCAAGTATGCTCTTCGGGGGAGTATTTCATCACTGTTTGCTGTGTTTCACGTGAATAACGACTGAATTAAGCGATTGTTTGTTCAGTGGTCGACAGCATTCACATCACAAATCAATCAATCCTTTCATTCAATACAATAATGACTAACGAATCGCATGAAAATCGATTTTCCGTGCGCTCTGTCTCTGAGGGCATTGACGACCACTACCTCACACGGGAGGCGCCCCCTCGCGTCGACCACTACCGCAATGTTATGTCAGTTCATTGCCGGATCTCACGGCCCACTCTCGAAGAGCTGTTCGTGGGCCACACCAACAACAACTATCTCACGGTCTGTGAACTGACTCTCTGGTCCTCTTGACTAACGTTTTTGTTACAGAAGTCAACCGATCCTCAGAAGAGCGGTCGTACGGAAGGCAATATCAAACTGGGATGGTTGCAGGGCGTCCTCGTAAGTACAGCTCACACGGTGTCCCTTTAAACACCATTACCCTATCCTTAAACACCACTACCCTATCCGCACAGATGCGCTGTATTCTCAACATATGGGGAGTCATGTTATTCCTGCGCCTCTCGTGGGTCGTCGGCGAAGCGGGTATTGGTTTGGCGTTTGTGGTCATATTATCGGCCACTTTCATCACTACCATAACTTCCATCTCCATGTGCGCCATTTCCACCAACGGTGAGGTGAAGGGCGGCGGCACCTACTATATGATCTCACGATCACTCGGACCCGAGTTTGGCGGAGCCATTGGGGTTATCTTCAGTCTCGCCAATGCTGTGGCCGTTGCTATGTATACCATAGGCTTTGCAGAAGCACTTCATGCTGTGTTCGAAGTATATCTCTCTATAACACTCAATCATTCAAAAAATAAACTCTCTCTCTCTTTCTTTCTCTCTCTCTCTCTCTCTCTCTCTCTCTCTCGCAGCGCAGCGGCCTAAACGTGTCTGCGGGCTTTTGGTTTGACATCCGGTTCATCTCTGTGGTCACTGTTTGTATTTTGTTGGCCATTACTATCATAGGAATGGAATGGGAGTCTAAGGTAGATATAAACCCTACAATTGAACGTATAGTTGCATAAACGTCGGATGTGCCAATAATATAATGCATACAGCATTGCCAAACTTAACATTTTGCATTTGGTTACAGGTTCTTTTATAAAATAAATTCTATTAAATAATTATTTAAAAACTAATTAATTAATTAAAATACTTTAAATAAATATAATTAAATATACCTCTGCAATAATTTCTTAATTTAATAATAGATTTTTAATAAATTTATAAGATATTACAGAATTACCTGAATTATTGGATTAAAACCATAGGTATAATGAAAATAACTTAGATAATTAATTAAATGTAGTATAACTATTATAAAATCTTAAAAACAATAAGTTAATTTAAATATTTATTTAAATAAATTGTTGCATTAAATATTTAACTTTTAATTAAATTTTAAAATAAGTTAAATATTTTTTTAAAAATTATAAATAATTAAAAGTTAATAAATAATTATAGATTTATGATTAAATATGAATTTACAACTAGAAAAATATTATATTCATTTTATTTAAGCAATATCTGATTAATATTTATAATAATAAACAGGGATATTTTATTTTAAACTATATCCGACGTTTTTACACGAAACGGATCAATTGTTTTATAATAGCTATAATCTTATTATACACTTTAGGCACAAGTCGTACTTCTAGTGATACTTCTTGTGGCAATCTTTGACTTTCTCATTGGTTCTGTCATTCCTCCCAACGATGAAAAAAAGGCTAAAGGATTTGTTGGATGGAACAGTAGGTTTGCTCCCTTTCCTCTATTAGTTCTAATATTTATCTCTTTAGTGAGTCTTATTGTCGAGAACTTTAGTCCGGATTTCCGTGTCGGACCCAATGGTCAGGAAACCTTCTTCACTGTATTCGCCGTATTCTTCCCGTCCGCCACCGGTATCCTCGCGGGCGCCAACATCTCAGGCGATCTCAAAGACCCTCAGAAAGCTATACCTAAAGGCACACTCCTGGCCATTGCCATCACGTCAGGCACTTACCTGCTCTTCGCCTTCATCTGTGGCGCGACTATTCTTCGCGACGCCGACGGCATAGGCTTTCCCGCCAACTGTACGATAAATGATTGTAAATATGGTCTGCATAGGGACTTCCAAGTCATTGAATTGGTGTCACTGTTCGGACCCATCATTTACGGTGGAGTATTCGCGGCCACCCTGTCGTCCGCATTGGCATCACTGGTGTCGGCGCCGAAGGTCTTTCAAGCTCTTTGCGACGACAAACTCTTCCCATACATACACTTCTTCGGCAAAGCCTACGGCCCTAACCATGAGCCCCGACGGGCGTACGTTCTAGCCTTTGCCATAGCTTTGGTGAGCTGTCTGTCCGGTCAGCTCAACCTAATAGCGCCCATTATCTCCAACTTCTTTCTGGGCGCCTACGCTCTCATCAACTTTTCCTGTTTCCACGCCTCGTTTGCTAAGAGTCCAGGATTTCGGCCCTCATTTCGATTCTATAATAAATGGGTGTCTTTGGCGGGCGCTGTCGTCTCGGTCCTCGTCATGTTTACGGGTCACTGGTCTATGGCTTTAGCCACCGGTACGTTAGTGGCGGCGCTCTTCTTCTACCTCCGATACCGCAAACCCGGTATGCCTTTCATAACACTAGTTCCCTATATATATATATTCCCTAATTATATATATACATATATAATTTATAACTCACTCTATTTGTCCTCCAGATGTCAATTGGGGCTCTTCTAGTGACGCCAAGTCCTATATCTCTGCCATCTCTAGTGTCCACAAGTTAAATGCCATTCCCTTTCACGTCAAGAACTACAGGTTCTTATTATCCATAAGCTATGGAATAGTTTTGTATTATAATTTTGTTATGAATTCCTCCAAATAGACCACAATTTCTGATTCTGAGTGGAAGGCCATCTGATAGGCCTGCGCTCGTGGACTTTGGCTACTCTGTGGTCAAGAAAGTGGGTTTCATTGTATGCGCACAGGTCCTGGATGTAAGTGAAGTGAACTAAAGCTATTCAATGGGTTTTGACTTTGATTTCTAATTTAAGGTGAAATTAGCGCAAAGAAGTCGAGAGAAATTGATAAATGACTGCAACTCTGCCCTAAGAGAGCGTCGCATCAAAGGGTTCTTCGCGTTGGCGGACGACCACTCATTCTCGTCGGGCGTCAGAAACCTCGTACAGGTATTGTCTAACTATTCAAAGGATAACCTCCTGTCCTGTGAAGGATGTCCTCCTGTCCTAACTCCCACTCCAGTCCGTAGGCATTGGCAAACTGCGGCCCAATGTAGTTGTTATGGGCTTTAAAAATGATTGGATGCGTTGTGACCACAAAGAAGTCGTCGAATACTTCACGTCAATACAGTGAGTGATATCTCAGACCGACTCAAGTCTTATTTGTTCTCTTCTTCAGCCATGTCTTCGACAACTCTCTTGCGCTGGCGATCTTCCGACTGCGCGATGGTCTGGATGTGTCTCGTTTGGCAGGAGTGGCGGATCTCATGGAAGAGAGCCGAAAGGTAGGCCTTACGAGCCGTTCCTTCGTACTGCCGACAGAACCGGGACTGAGTTCATCGACTGGAGCGGCAGAGCTGTTGTCCGCCAACCAATTCCGGTGGAAAGAGAGGAAGGGGTTTGTGGACGTGTGGTGGCTGTACGACGACGGAGGCCTCACTCTTCTCATCCCACATCTGCTCCGACAACGCAAACAATGGGCCGAAACGCGGCTCCGGATCTTCACTTTGGTTCAGAGCGGAGGCGACGGAGAGCTCGAGAGACAGCAAATGAAAACTCTTCTGGGCAAATTCAGGATCGATAATGAGGTCATCATTTTGGTGGACCCCTCACAGCCCCCATCTCAGGCCTCCATCAACCAGTTCGACGCCATTGCCTCCCAATGGCTTAATAATGATAAGTCAGACCTTAGGATCACTGCCGCAGAGATGACGGCTCTCAGGGAAAAGGTATGCGAAGAGGGGAGAGAGAGAGAGAGAAAGAGAGAGAGAGAAAGAGAGAGAGAGAAAGAAAGAAAGAGAGAGAGAGAGAGAGAAACTTTAATTTTGATAGAGTATAGCATTAGTTGCAATGATATCCATATACACACGGCTTCCAAATGATAGCATTCCTGTTGTGATGACATGTGTTGTGCGAGACCTCCAAAAGAGTGCATCTTTTGTAGAGAGCATTGAATAGAGAGACAGACTATACTATGAAAGAGAGAGAGAGAGAGAGAAAGAGAGAGAGAGAGAGAGACTCATTGACGTGATTGCTGTGATGTTTCAGACCAACCGTCACATCCGTCTGCATGAGTTGGTGTGTCTGCACTCTCGGGACAGCCAACTGGTGGTCATGACTCTGCCGATGCCTCGCAAGGACTCGTGTTCGGCCGCCCTTTACATGTCGTGGTTGGAGGTGTTGTCCGCGGATTTGCCACCATTTCTGTTCGTTAGGGGAGACCAGAGAGATGTCCTCACCTTTTACTCGTGAGGAATACATGAACACTCTGTCCGATATGACTTCCCATTCATATCCCTTTCCTTTTAAGCGTATATTCTTTAATTTATTTTGTTTACAAACTTTTGAAAACTAAATGATTTTTCAAATACAGTAACTTATGTGTAATTGTAATGCACTTTGGTTTTTAATTTCACCTTGCTATTTTGACTAATAAATTAATTATCGCACTATTTTATTTAAAGGTGCACAAAATGTTCAGGGAGAATTGATTTTTTATATCTGTGTTGAAAGTGTGCATAACCATAACCCTGCTCATAGTATTCGTGTTAAATAATTGCACTGAAAATGTGTGCATTTCTTATATGAGATGACACTGCTCAATTATCAATTATCCAATGCATGCATTCATTGATTCAATTGCTTTGGACTAAGGAGCTCTAACACAGCATGAAAATGCATCATTCATAAATCCATGGTGGGGTGGGGGTGGGGGTGGGGTGGGGTGGGGGTTGAGTTTGAATCTGTCATTCAGTGATAGAAAAGACAATAGGTTTGATACAAATCATGGCCACCACCACCACCACTGCAGGTGACCTACCAGTGCTTACCAATTGGCACAATTTGGTCTGACATGAACTAGTCATCAGACTCTACCCCACAATATATTTGTGATGCAGTGTTAAGAGTCCCTTAGATCTCATGCTTTAGACGTTCACTGCTATAAGTATCACACGAGTAGTCATTGTAATAGCAATGTAAGCAATGCATGCATTTCCAGTGTTTAGCCATTTATGTTAATTGGCACAATTTGTGTGACCATAATCCAGGTCATTTCTTTTATGGCACAAACAAGGCTAACTATGAGATCACAGTTGCCCTCATTCACCAAATTTGGTGTTCAATGACGTAATTGTTGTGAGACATGGCATACGTCAACGCTGCCAATGCTGTGGTAGGTGTACCGTCCCTTTACATACGAATGCCTCATAGCGTTGCACATATAAAGGGTCCGAATATAAGGTGAAAAGGCAATCGTTTCATCATTATTTAATCGCAGCAAACAATAAATGAAAACAAATTTCTGTTGGATTTGTTGGTTCACTGACTGACAGAACGTATGATTGAGTTGTCATTCAATACGAGTCCATAAGTGCGTCAACTATGCCTTCACTGCCCACTGAGTCCACTGTCCGCTAGTATTCACTGCAATACTAATGCCGCAAATGTAAGTCAAACCCAATGTCTGTCTGTTTTCAATGCAAATGTCTTTTGTATTCAAATGTTCGATGCATTCAATCCATTGGCATATCATTTGACATGAGATTTGTTATATCATGAGTGGTTTGAGTAGTGAGACACCCATTTGGGGCCATTCAATAAGTACGTACGCAAATTTGGGCCAAATTGAGCACCCACTTAAATGTGGGTAGCATGCTCATTTACCATGCTTTCAGTGTACAATGGACACTGGTATGTGGGTTTGGCACATGTATGTGTGCCATACACACGCCTAACCTAACCAAACCTAACCTAACCCTATGCACTGATATGTGCCAGGTCAATCAATATTGGATTTGATGCAAAATGTGTTGTATTACACTATTGTGTTACTTAAGCCAATCAAAGTGACCAATGATTTGTCCCAATATTTAGCACGTAATTCAATGTCTTGTGATTTATAGGCGGCGATGGAGGCGCCACCACTCGACAAATGGTTCGCACCTATAGCTTACCAAATATGTCTAGTGGTGGCGCTTCCATAGCAACGCTATGAAAATAATATTCAATAACGTGTTAAATATTGGGACAAATCAGTACCAAATGTGATTAATTCACGAGACATTTGGTCACTGATTGGCTTAAGTAAAGCACAATATTATTATAGTTTGTGTCAAACAACACATTTGTATAAAATTCCAAATTTTGAGTCAATATAGAGCGCCGCCATATTTGTTGTGTACTATTCGTATACAATATTTGTTCAACTTTTACGCACATTTGTGGGTAAAATGAGAACAACGTTTGTTAAATAAATATTTACAAGTTAATTATAGAAGTTGATTAATTTTGACAACCACATTTGTGATTATTTTGTATTTGACATGGGCTTAGCATTTAGTGACCAGTAGTGGTCAGTTGTGGTCATTATTGATAAATTATGGTAAATAGTGTTTGTAGTGAACTATAAATTGTCATTAATGTTTATTTGTGATAAATATATTTTAAATTGTAATGGTGTCTTTCGATTGACCTACTCATTATTTGACCTATTTTTCCAGAACGGACTTATCTAGATTGATTTAGAATCAAAAACCAATTTTTGACAAAAATCCATAAAGTACGTCACCCAATATCTATGTTATTTATGGAAACAAAAATTGTATAATTTAAATTTTATTCAGGATTGAAGCTATTTTCCCATACAATAGAAATGCTCTACAAATTCAAGTACGTTATTTATGACTTAGCTATTTTAATTTGATTAATATTACTGAATCCAAAAATAACGTCCATTTTATGTGTACATAAATAATGTATATATATTTGATAACGTGATTTGTTTGGTTTTATTTTTGATTTCTGAGTTGTTTGAAGCATACCTTTTGAAATGTTTTGCCAAACGGTGAATCCCATGTAGATATGCTATCAAGATACAGTATCTGTTAGAAATATACAAAACCAGTACATGAACTCTGCTTTAATATGACTGTAATCTACCTTTTAATCTGAAGAGTAGGTCACACGACTTAATGATCTTTTGAGCCCTACTATGAGATTAATTTAAAATCTGGACAAACATCTGGCAAACATGTGTTACGATTAGTCATTAATCTTGAATTTCTGTGTTTCTATATTCAAAGTATTGAACACTTTGTGTTGAATTGATGTGAGAATCGAGTCCATCGTCTAATTGCTATTATTTTGCAAACCTTTTGTTATTTTCATTGCAATTAGTCTAAGGTTTCCGTCGCTTACTTGACGTCCACTCCGATCGGTATTGAAATGAACAGTCGTTTGAAATGCTCACAAACCTTAGATACTGTATTAGATATGAAGGGTTAAGACATAATCACTAGGGATTGGAAATGGAAATAGGTCATTTTATTCAGATTTCTACTTACAGTTCTACTTACTATGCTATTTGCTACATATGCTATTTGACTATGTTCAAATATTCTTGGTACAATCACTTTGTTGAATGTAGAGGTAAAGGACGTAGTGCAATTTGACCTATAATTGTATGCTGCAAATGTTGAATAGATTTCGTGAATTGAGCATGGTAGTTATTGGTGATGGTCAGTGGATTACTTACACATGCAATGGTGGGCCCAACCATTGCATACATATTGCAATTGATTGTCAAATGATATGAATATAAGAAAGCATTGCAAACGTATGAATGAATGGTTAAACAAATGCAATACAAATGCATTGATTGACACAACTGTTAGAGTGACCCCTATTTCACACTAATAGCAAAAACTGGACAAATGCTTAGTTGTAGAGAATTTGCATATTAAGAATAAATATCCTGGATACTATTTGAATGCATTCTCTAAAATGGGTATATTCTGTGCGCTATTACCAGATGATAGGCAACACGACGTCTGCGTCCGACCGGTGCCTCCGAGCGCTTCCCACTCAACCCAACCGTCGGACGACACCATCGACTCGACGCCTGAAGATCAGTCGACAGGTGCTGAGCGACGGCAAGCTATGGCTGCAACAGAGCGTACGGTTGTGTCGACTGTCGCCGACTGTCATCAGGACTTACGACAAGAATTCATACAAAAGATATTACAAGCAATTCGTCGAACAGAAGAATTTCAACAAATACTCAAAACTCTTCCACAACTTCCACACCAAACCCACGACCACATCCACCGCCACCCATAGCACTGCCCGCACCACTACTAGTGCCACTACCGGTGCGACCAATGAGAGTCCCAAACGCATGCGTCTCTGGGACTGCCCCAAGAGCCCGACCCCGCAGTATCTGTTGCCGCAGAACAGCTTCCGGACTCTGAGGTCCCATTCCCAGGATCTGAGACAATGGACTAAATGTGATGAACGCGAGAACTCATTGATGTCGATATCGGAGTACAACCGATATCTGGATCTGATTAGTGTCCGACAACTCAATAGACTGGACGCCAAACAACTCAATACTCAGTTCGGTCTGAGAAATATCGCCAAAACCGACGGCTATTCCATGAATCCGTCGAATCAAGT